GGCGGGAGGGATGAGGACCGGGGGCAGTGGAGGGGGATTGCCCAGTTATGTGGGCAGTGGGGTCCTGTGTGTTGTGTGTATGCACACCCCCTCCCCCTGCCGCGTGCTGCAGGAGCGGCGTGGCCGTTACTGGTGTCAGTTGTAGCTTCTGCTTTTTTTACGTTTTTTTCAAGCAAGTGGCGGTAAAGCTTCACGTGGCGTTTGGGGTTTCTGTCAGGGACGTTTGTCAGAGCGCGTTTCGGGCCGTTTTAGCCGGCTTTGAGCTCGGTAGAGCCCAGAGTGTTTTTACCCTGGGGAGGGTGGGGGACGGGGCGGGAAGCACCTGCGGCCAAAAACCTGCTCGTTCGCCAGGAAAGCTTTGGCTGCAGAGCGCTACGCTACCGAGGCCTACGGTGCCTGCATCGTGCGTCAGAGTGCAAGATGTGTCTTGATCTGAAATCTTAAAAGCCTGGCGCTGCTGGAACAGCTTGCGGGAGTTGGCCACAGAAATCGAGTGACAAAAAGTTGAATCTGCACTGGGCATCAGCATTATTTTGTCTCCCTGATTTTAAAATGCATAACAGCTGTTACTTAGGCAAAATCACTTAAAGTAACATTAAAACAGGAGTTAAACAATACTGACTGAGAGTCTCATACCAATGAGTATGTGTGCCATACTGTGAATTTTTAAATCACAGCATCCTTTCAGGTGTTAGTACAACTTAATCACAGGCCTTAATTCTAAGTTTAGTCTAACTCAACTCATTTGAATGCATCTTTTCAAATTTAGTCTTTGCTCATATCTGTGAGCTGAAATCAAAAATTCTTCTCTAGGTGTTCCAGCGCAGACTTGTGTGTGTAAAGCATGTTCGTATCTTTAGGAGGCGGGGGGGGAAGTCAGTACCACTTGTTATGACTTAGCTCTCTAATTTTAGTAAAACCATTTTGGCAAAAGATGTCACACAGGAGATGAGACCTTTGGGTCTGTTGGAAGTTCACAAGATGCACAGCATGGCAAATGAGAATTCTTATTAATGATTTCAGAAATTATAAAAATGCCAAAGGGAAAATTTAATGTTGTGTCTCTAGGAGCTGCATTTTTTCCATCTCTACCCTTGAGGTTTTGCTTTTATCTCTTTTGATATTTTCTCCTACTGAAAGTATTAAGAGTCAGGGGATTGCCTGTCTGTCTTGAGCCTGTAAAGTCCACGTGTGAGCGTGCTGCTTATCTAAATGTTTTCTCTCACATCTCTTCCCAGCTTACCAAAGACTATCAAGATGAGTTTAAGGAAGCAAACCCCTAGTGACTTCCTAAAACAAATCATTGGAAGGCCAGTTGTCGTAAAATTAAATTCTGGAGTTGATTATCGAGGTAAGTTCTCTATCAATCTCTTACGCTAAGTAAAGTCTATGATTTCATTATTCGGGGAGCTTGGAACAGATGCTTTGCTTCTGAAAAGCAAAACAGTGTGATCCATTGTCCTGAGTATGTGAATACAGATCTCAAAATGGTGACATTAAAATAGAAAATCAACTCTGGAGAAACTCATGAAAAGGAGACTAACAGTGGAATTAGAGATTAAAATTACTTATCTAAATCATTAGTGTTAAGTCACAGATGGCTAGACTGAAGTCTCGGGATAATTCTGAGTTTCTAAACTGATATTTGTAAAGATTGGCTGGAATTAAAATTCCTGAAATATTCAGGCAGTCCCATTTTCAAGTGCTCCGATAGCATCCCTTGTTGGACCTACCCTTTTTCTTCACCTTCCTGTTCTCGGTTTCCTAGTATAGACCTTGGTCCAGAAAAGCTGCACACTGTAAACTCTGCTATCAGTCAGAAGCCTACTCCTACACAAGGGATGAAATAGTTATTGATGTTCTTGCTTAAACAACTGCCTAGACACATAGTGGATCAAGACTCACAGAGATGCAAGAGGAAGCGTAAGGCTTTTGCTGCTATATGCCCAATGCATTTTAACACAGTCCAGCAGTTTTAGTGCAGAATGCTTAAGCCTGTCTGTACATGTTCATGCACTATAGGTAGGATTATAGAGGTTTTTTAAGCAGTAAATTAAACTTCTTTGTTCAGTGAAATGTCCGTGTCCTACTCCCATTAGGCTAAGACTATTAGTCTGTCCAATTTTTTTGTAGCATCCAAACTTAATTAAAACTATCATGTATCTCCTATTGAACATATTTTAGGCATTTTATTCTGGAATTACTTAAACATTGTGGTCCTGCTACAGATGGCTGTTTCAGGTAGGTTTACTTCAATTGGCTTAGCTTAGCATTTGCAAGAGAAGACTTGTGCAGTGACAAGGATTATTTATTGTGACAGTTTTAAATTGTTACTGTTCACTGACAGAGCAAGCTGTGCCTTCTTGTCCCTTCCTGTTCCTCTTTAGTGTCTCTCAGCTGACAAAATTGGCAAGCTGTCATTTCTGAGAACCACATTGTCTAAGCACTTCAGGTGGGTTTGGTGGCTGAAAAATTTCACTGCTTCTCATTGGATTTTGGCTTCTGTAAATTCTCTCTTGCAGGAGAATGTAGTGACAGCTCATTAAAGTCAGTTAGAGCAAGTCGTCATTTGCCTGAAGATACACACAAGGCAGGGTCAAACCAGATTTGGTTTTTGAATGCGCTTTCTGTTCTCTTTGAGAACTTTGTAACCTTCTGCTCAGTAAGATCTTCTTGTAACTGCTACAGATAAACTGCACATTTTCCCCTCAGAGAGGCTAGTTTGACTTGCCTACAATCAGACCTACCAGGAATTAAACCGTAGTTCCTTTGAAGACCCTTATTTGTCATTGGATTTTCTTCCTCTCTCTTCCTTACTTCCTTCTGCTCTCCTTCCTTTCCACTTGATGTGATCCTGAGGTTAAAAACCCGTATACTGTTCTTGTTTGAAAAAGATACACATTCAGTTAATTTTCTGTAGAAATTTGCCCAACAATTGTAAAAGCCAAACACTGAAAAACCCAGCATCTAGGCTTTTGTTGCAGATCTGTCTAGATTTTCTCTAGACTATGTTGCTAATTTTATGTCTGTGCCTCCACCCTCCAAACAACCATACGCACTAATGTGGCCTAAGACAAGCGTTGATGTGCAACTGTAAAATATCTCAGTTTGCTGCCAAGTGCACGTCTAAGGGAAGAAACCCTGGGAAAGTAAGCAGTGATAAATTACGATTTCTGTGTGTACATACAGATAAAAGAGAAAAAATACTAGCCAGGATGGGCAGTGACAATATTTAATGTCATTAGTGGCCTGAGAGCAAACAGAAAGAAAAGGAGGAAGAGAACAAAGTGAGCATGAATGCATCCTAGGAATGAGAGTTTGAAAAGACTGCATTTATGGCCTACTGAATGGTGGCTTAAGAAACCCTGCACAGTCCAATTTTAATTTTGGATAAACTTCTTTTGTTTTCTGTTGTTATGTAGAGCACTCAGGATTACCGGAGTGAAAAAGAGTTCTGACTTTTGTTTGGGTTTTTTGGGTGCATTTAATAAGAGTTTGTGAGCAGTCAGTCAGTTTTTCTGATTTTTGTGGAAACAGAAGAAAGGAAAGTATACAGCAAGTAATAATCCTCAAACCACTACAAATAGGCAGGAGAACTTGAATTCCTAATTATTTAATGGAAGATATTACAGTAGCACTTCTGAAAAATGAGAATGTGACCTGAAGGAGGATTCTCAGACTTGATTTTTCTTCCTCTTCCCAAAGTACAAGCAATACACTATATTTCTTAAGTTGTATAAACTTGAGGTAAATAAATTGGATGCTTTTCAGTCAGAGAAAAAATATTTTAGTAGTGTTGTCTATGTGTGCACGGATGAAGTCAGGAAACACACAGGCAAGATGGAGATAAACCTAGCTTGTTATAAAGTTGTTTTATGTAGACAATTAACAAATCAGATTGCATTTTCTGAGCAATTCTTTATATCTGTTAATCCCCACATTCAGTTCCTTATATGAATCGTCTGTTTGTTCTTCAGGCAAGTTAAATTTGTAGATGACCATGGTTCTGATCTTCAGGGTGGGTCTAGACACCGAGGAGTGACTAAATGAAAAAAATGCCATCATGCTGCCAGGGCATAGGAAGCGTGTGAGCAAGGTACAGTCTTCAGGAGGGGCTATGAGAAGTGACAGCATAAACACTTATCTAAACCCAGTGCTACCCAAATGCATATTTTCCTGATCAAAATAACAGGGCAGGGATTTTTTTCTTGAGTTGCATTAATTAAACAGTGTAATTTTATTTTTGTGGGAAGATATCAGTGTCGTTTGAAAGCCCTTTGCTTGTTGAAAATGATGTAGAGTTTGGTTTACATCAAAAGAGACCTGCAGCTAATGTTCTTCTAGGTCTGTAAGCATGAAGATAAATATGAAAGTGTGTATGGTGTCCTGTATTAAAGGGGCTATTTTTCAGATATATCCTTTACAAGTTTTGATGGAAACTCAACTTACATAGCCTTATTCTTAGGTTATCCAGTTACACTTAATGTCACAGGTTCTTTTCAGGTGTGTGGCTTAAAACACAAGTGAAAAGGGACATCTTAAACTTTCAGAGAAAAATCGTAAGGTTTTTGAAAGTCATGTGTCAATTACTTCTTTTTTCCCCCTCCACTCTTCTATCAACTGATCAAGTTGCTACTAGAGTGCCTGGGGTTCCTCACTCCCAGCTTAATTCTTTGAAGAATGCTCTGATTTACTGACTCATCTGGCCATGCTTGGGCTTTTAGTTTGTTATGAAGGTACAGTTTTTTTCAGTACTATTAAAACACAGTGCATTTTGTTTATTTCAAAATAAGTTTAAGCTGATTCACTTTTCAACTGTCACTGTCTCCAGGTGTCCTGGCTTGCCTGGATGGGTATATGAATATAGCTCTGGAACAAACCGAAGAGTATGTAAACGGACAATTAAAGAACAAGTACGGGGACGCGTTTATCCGAGGAAATAACGGTAACTCCTCCTCCCCATGTTATTGCTTATTAGAAGATTATATTTTATATTTATGTCTGAATTTAAAGAGTGGTTAACACATAAGCAAGCTGTCTGTGAGAACTTCACTTTCAGGCTTTCTTGGAAGCCTTAATATATTTACTTTTTGCAGTGCTTCTTTTCAGCATCTGTGCTTTTCCTCATTCTTGTGGCTCTTTTTGCCGCAGCACTTGAAGTTCATTTACAGAAGCATGCTCTTTTCTGTCCTTCCTTGGAGCTTATTCCCTGTCATCTGACAGGTTTACCCTTTTGCACTTACTATGTGCTCAGATGGCCTCTGCTCCATAGAAGTTTCTGTGTTTTGCTAGGAAAACTACTGTGTAAATTTATGATACAGTACAGATATTGATGGCACTGTAATATTTTCTTGTGATATGATTGTCCAGACCTGAATTAATGCTGTTCAGTTGTACTGGAGGCTATTTTAATCTTTAAGTAAAGATTTTACCACGAGTCAAGAAAATCACTTCACTATTGAGCCTTTGAATATCCCAGTGCAGTAGCTGGAGTGTAGTGCACTTCAAGGACAATTAGCCTCCTGCCCCACTGCAAGACAGATTTGCTTTTAATCATAGGTTGAGGAGTATCCCGGGCTCCTAAAAATGACTCTGATATCAGTTAGGCTGTAATAGCAGGACATACCAGGGAGAAGAATATCTAAAAATATAGAGGATGATGCCAGTCAGATGTGAAGAGACTTGTAGAGAAGGTAAATGAAGAGTTTGGCCAAATTACTTAAGAAAACAGAGGATGGAAAGGAGGGAATAAAAGAAACAGGAATGGAATCCTGTGTCGCAAAAAAGAATTAAGGAGAATGTGGCACTAATGTGAAAGTGTTTTGGGAGTAGAAACAATTCCTGAAAGAGGCCAAATGCTTTTTGCATTGCAGTTGGACAATCAGTTATGGGAATAAGAATATTATAAAAGTTAAAACAAATTGATGAGAGGCAGGAGGCTGAAGAGCAGACTGAGCAGAGAACTTAAGACATCCCACGCTTAGGAGCATGATAATTTCACATGTGTGCATCTGTTTTGGGGGTTCCACCAGCCAAGCAGGTGGAAAATGTGTGCTGCTTTGTTACCTTTGTCTTAGGTGCTTGGGGTTTCCAGCTTTTGTTTAAAGATCGTAACATTAGTGTCTGACAACTTTTATTCTGCTGCTTTGAAACTCTTTCCTGCTCCCCCCAGTAATGCTGCACGGTAGCTGGCTTTATTCATCCTCTGTTCAGCTTGCATCTGCTGATGTGTAGTTTGGCTATGAATATTATAAATACTGAACCAAAGTAATTCATAATATGTAAACTTCATAGCATTTCTGGAAACCTGGACTTAAAAGTTTCCTGACTATTCATGCTGAATGAGATTCATTACATTGTTTTACAAGCCAAGGAAAGGGATGTTTAAATAAACAGGCTTCTGCATGTTATTTACCAAGGCCCACTTATGTGTGCCACTTTCTCCTTTTCACAGTATTGTACATAAGCACACAGAAGAGGAGGATGTGAAGATGTCAGAAGGAGTCTGTTTTGTACTTGTGAACCTCTTCAAAGTGATGAACTCCATTTGATATGAAGTTAATAATCCACAGGTGAAATATACAAGTGTTTAAATATTTTTTTTTAAATAGATGTAACCCAGTGTGAATTTCCTGAATGTTTTTGTTTCAAAGAATTGCTTTGTTTCACTGTACAGAAAAAAAAATAAAGTGAAGCATGTAATAGTGCTGCAAGAATAATTCAAAGCAACAGCTCATTTAATTATGCTGACAGTTACAGAAATAATTATTGGAAGGTAAGCAGGCATGGAGTAATTGCAAGTCACAGCCTTGTACTGATAGCAAAACAATAGTTTAACTGATGTTGGGAAGGGAAAAGCTAATGTTTTGGTGACAGTGACCCGTCCCTTTTGGAAAACACAGGGTCAGCTTTAAATGCCAATCTAGTAAGAGCCATCAGGTAAAAAGTTCAGCAGCCCAAAAGATCTTGAATTGTGGGGTTGAATCAAGGGATGTAACAGTGACACCTCAACAATTAGGGGTGGGGAAAGAACTGAATCAGATGGGAAAAAAGCCCTAAGGGTGGAAAGAAAGCTCTCTGCCAGCTGAGGAAGGCAGGCACAGGTGAAGGGTTCTCAGCTGGCACACTGACACAGCTAGTAGCAGCTTCACCTCCTGTCTCTGTACCCTGCCCTACCTGAGCTTGCCGTTACCTTTTTCCTCCCCGAGTCTCCACCAAACAAAGGACTTTTTCAGTAAAAAAGCAATTTTAACTAATATCTAAAGCTACTCCTGAAAACAAACTGGGAATCTAAAAGCTTGTGTAAACATGCCATATGTATCCTGTTCAGTTTACTCTTTCTCCCATCCACTTCTCCCCCAACCTAGTACCATCTTTGTGTTCTCTTTATGTGCTTGTCAGAAAGAAGAATAAAAATTAAGCTTGTAGTATAGGGTACACTTCAGGGAAGAGGAACCTCTGTGCAGGCAATGGAGTCAGAACTTGTTTGTATTTTGCAACAGTGCTCCCAGGTAATCAAAGCCCAGTGCATAAATCCAGCTCAGTTTTAGATGGATATTTATACCAATTTATAAAATATCTCTTCTCTTTTTACATGCAGTCAGCTAAGGAAAAAAAGCACAAAACAACTGTGAACATTCAGATATTTTTTTCTGCACTTAACATCCAGATATTCTGAATGTTTTCTTATTCCTGGGGACAAAGTTGTAAGATAGTGTAATGTGCCTCAAGGTGAGGTTATTTAGCCATTTTTAAAAATGACTTTTCTGAAGTCCTGCTTTATTCTTTGGGCAGTTTATAGAGCCTCCAGGAACAAAAATACTTATAGTTGTGGATGGATAAACACTAGATAATTGTATGAACATAACATTGGCCCATTCTTTCCAAGTACCAGTAGCTCCAATGCAAGCAGGGAACACTAACATTTCAGTTATCCAAGGGAGAGAATGTGGGTTGTCATTTTTTTTAAAATAATATCAAGGAATAACTAAATTATTTTGCAATCAGTAGTTAACCTTTCCACGTTAAACACTTCAGAAGCCACTACAGAGCACACAAATAGAGATGCTACTTTATAATATGCTTCAATAATTTATCATTTTCTGACAAGGGTTGAAAAGGGTCCAGCATGTAAATACAAATCACCAACTTGCTCTTCTGTAAGTGACTTCTTTCAAAAAAAGAAAGATGTACCTCCAAGTGGAGCATGCATTTTCTCATTTGTCATCTATGTACAGCTGGCAGGCTACCATGTGCTTTCATTCCTGGAGACTGGCTTTTTTTTTTTGTAATTTTAAGGTGGGATTATTTTTTTTCTTCTCTACCTACCCACCTATAGTAACACATTTTGCAGATACTTTGATTTACTCTCAGGAGTTGGCATTGCTAACTTTTTAATTGCAGTTCTGTTTCTACAAGTCTAGTTATAGAACATTTTTCAGTTGTGATCTGCTGCTTCAAATGGTCTAATCACATATTTAACTCTGAACTTGGAAAATACTACATAGTGTAAATGCCAAGTTTTTTTCATGTATTCTGGATCATTAAATTGCTATTTATGTTGTAAGATAAGAAAATTTGCATTAAAGAGGAGCTGTTGTCATCCATATTCAAATTTCAAAAGCAACTAAAGAAAATAAACACTGAATTCCCACAATCACTGACCTTTATGTACATTTTGCAAGATTTTCCCCCTTAATTCAGTTTTCAGCTCCCATGTTTAAATCAAAGGAAAAGTTAAGCTTGACTTCAATTAGGCAGCCCAGTGTTTGAATGGAGTTTGATTTGAGTTGGATAGAAGATTAATCTTGGATTTATTTTACTTCTCTGTACTTTTTGTTTTGGCTTACTGTATTCTGTGAGACAAGATACCAGTTGCAAGTAAATCAGACACTGGCCAGCTTTCAGAGTAGCACACGCAACGCTATCCAGAGTTTTAAGGTGAGCCATCCCATTGTGTATGTAGGTAGACATCAAAGTAGAATTGTGTATTTCACAAACTCCTGATGCTTAAAAATTACTCAGCCTAATTTATAAGATCCTTATCCCCTTGGGAGATACACTCTTAAAAGTGCACTGTATCTTCGCACACACAAGACAGCTCACATCCTTCATGTTACCTCATTTACCATATCCTAATGCTCTTGCACCAGTACCTGCCTATAAAATGGTTTTATTTGTAGATCAACCTCATGTAGGTGAGGACTGACAATGCAGCATTCCTCGAGCAACTTGCAAGTGCTTGTTCCTCACTTGCCTTAGAAGAATACACCCAAAATTAAGGAATCCAAAACTAACTAACAAAAAATAATTCCATTTCAAAGACTAAAGCTATATTCACATACATAGTTAGTACCTTTATGTGATGAAATTGCTTCAGGAAACCCAAGGCCATTCAACCACTGCCCCACTCCCACCTCTAATGCGTTCAGTTCACAGACTCCAGGAAGAGCTGTTAAGCCTGAATTTGCTACGCCCCCACATCCAGGGTAGGTTTCTTGCACTTGAAAAGCCAGACTAAGCCACATCTCTTTAAGCAAACCCCTGACTGGGAACAGCAGCACAGCATATCCTATGGAAACCAGAGAAAGCAAGTCTAGAAGGAGTTAAGTACTCAATGGGTGATGGAGCAGCCAGAAGTCAGGTTGCTACTAAAGCCTGCAGCAACCTGGAGTGCCCCTATATAAAGGGAGCAGAGCATGCTAAGAGCGAGCTGCTTTAATGGTATACACTCATGACCACTCAGTTTTACAATTTGTTGCCACCTGGTTGCTAGTTCAAACGGAATCTAATACAAGCCACAGAACATTGGTTTTTTTGAGTTCTTTCCATCTTTTTTCACAGTGTTACAATGACAAAACAGCTGCCCAGAGCCCTTCTTGGGTATAGCTTGTCCATTAAGTCCTAAAGCTGATACCTGGCTCTGAAAACTATCAGTGCCTCACAGCTGCAGGTTTCCACTGTGTTGTTTACGGTAGTCAAGAAAGTGTGAAAGTGTTTGCAAAGTGGTGGCCTTTGAATGTTTGCCTGATGATCCCAAAGCAATACCTGATATTTAATATGCCACCCCATGCCTGTAGCCAGCTCCAGCCCTGTGTCAGTTTTGAAAGCAAACAAACTGTGGAGCCAGCTGTTCCAGTTTCCTGTGCTGAACTGTTCTCCAAGGCTGAGAAACTGGAGAGGAGGAGGCTTTTCCTGAGTTGTTATGAAGGACAATTTCATGTTTAGCCATCAGTGATCCACACAGCAGCTTTGGGCTGGGCTTGGCTGCATGCCTGGTGTGGCTTTCAGGCTGCAGGATACCTCTGCCAGCTCATTGCAATGAAGGAGCCCACAGGCAGCTCCCACTCAGTATGGTGATTGCACCACCTGCCTGGCCTTACATTTATCTAACAGTGCAGCAACAAGTTCCCACGAGAACGTCCTTTAGAAAGAGGTTTGTTTTCTTGTAAGGAAAGTACAAAATAGCTCAAGTGATGAAAACGGAGATCTCTGCATGGATGATGGGGTCAGGTGCCGCTCTGTGCAGCATGGCATTGGAAAATCCATCTGGGCTCTATCCGATGCTACATGGATGTGGGATGCCCAGCATCTGAAGGGATTTACAATTTACTTGCTGTCTGCATTCCTCTTCTTATTCTTAGTAAAGCAGTTATCTAACTATTTGTTGCCAGACCTTTCTTACTGAGATCCAGAGAGAGCCCTGCACTGTCTCTCTCTCTCTCTCCCCTCAACCTCCTCTTCCAGTGCAGAACAGCTGTCCAGGTTGCAGTAGTTACCAACTAAAATAAAGAATGGAGGGTTTTTGTTGTGTGTGGGGTTTTTTTGGTTTTTTAAGGCTGAATTTATAAAGGAAGGAGGCTCAGGATGTCACGTTATATGTTCGGTGTGTGTTGGTTCATTCCCAGCAGTAGCATTTGAATCCACTGTTGAAATTCATTAGTGAGATAGCAAAAATAGTCAAGTGGATAGAAATGGGAGGCCCTGCCAGTACTTCTGCTGACCTTCCGCCTAACTAGACATCACAGAAACATCCTCTTTTCCCTGGTCTACCCAAACACAGAGCTACAGACACGCACAGGTCAACTTTGAGATGCCAGTTTGTAGGCATTATTCTTCATTCTCACTGTGGGACTACCATGGATTTTTACCACTCTCCTACAGTTGACCATGCTCTTAGATTTAAAGATGACCTGAAATATTGTTAAATAAGATGGTGCTTCCATCTTTGTTGGTTTAATGATCAGTTCCCTGTGATTTGGACTCACCTAACTGTTACCACCTTCAAGCTCTCTGCTTGATCAACCTGCTCACTCTTCTCTAACCCTCCAAAAAACTTTGTTCACAGGATTGAGGTGTTTGCTAGCTGACTGGGAAGGACATCTAACTTGTTATAACCCCGATTATCTTGCAGTAGCAAAGCATTTCTCAACCCAGCAATGAAGCAAACAGCTTGCTCTTGAGTGTCAGCTCTGGGTTGCTTACATCCATGCCCATATTACATACTGATCTCCGCTGCACCTGCTCCACATCTGCTGCTCCACGTCTGTTGTCTCTGTTGTGCCCCAATGATGTGGAGATGTAGAAGCAATCTGCAAAAGTGAGAAAATTTCTGCATCAAAGAGCCTGGGAACTGGATTTATAATCTTTCTGTGCACTGAGCTGATGAAATTTCAAGTTAAATGGTTTATAGTCTATGTTAATTATCAAGCTATTATAG